TGTCCCATAATGGAATAGAACATAGCTTCATACAGTAATGAGATAGAATATTGCTTTGTACTGTAATGGAACATAGCATTAGCTGTGTCCCATAATGGAATAGAACAGAGCTTTGTACTGTAATGAGATAGAACATAGCTTTGTATTATAATAGTATAGAACATAGTTTTTTACTATAATACAATTTGAAGATAGGGATAGCATGTGTCACCATAGCTGGACACATATAGAAGAGAGAGTCCTTGTACTATTTAAATTATATGTGGTGAACCATCACATCTAGCTTCACATGTGGAGATGCCACTTGATCAGCAACCAGTGACCCAAGATGACCTTTGTGAAGTGTTCAATTATTCTTTATAGGGTGAATCTAGGGATGTTGTTAATGGAGTCAGTGTGCTTGTATTGAAAAGTCCTAGTTGGATTGTTGAAATGTTGGTTAAAAAAAAATGACAGTTGTGACACACAATAAGCAACTCAGTGCACAAAACCTTGTGATGACGAAGTGACAAGGTTGTGTGTGTTGGTTTTTTTAAATTGATAACAAATTTAATGTGCTGCTGTGCTGCTTTCAAATTTCTTTTTTTTTTTTTTTTTGAGTAGGGAGGGGCATAGTCTGAAAAGGTGACGCAGTCCGCTCAGGACCCAGAGACCAGATAGGCTTGTGACTTCATTACACCTTTAACTTAATATTTTGAGTTAGAGATGAGCACTGTCCTAACTTATTCTACCCCATTACTAGGGATCACACCTGTGCCTGCCTTTGAGAGAGACCTATATTAGACCCACTGCTAATTTATCATAAACATGGTTAAATAATGACATCATCACGTGGCTTTCTTTTAAAAAAAAAAATCTGTAACCCCTAGACTTATTGATGGCTGCACTATTCATGCAGCTTGTAATTGTCAGGCTAAGTGTTTATCCCTGTTACATCCTACACACCATTAAAATAGTACTATAAGAGCAGTAAAACATTCTTCAATAAGGATGCCACGCAGGTATCAAAAGGAAATGTAGCATTTGAATGGACAGGTGAAAGAGCATTGTATGCTGTAGACAACCTTTAAGGTGAGATTAGACAGGTCTGACCAGTGTCCATCTGCACATTGAAGTTTGGTTGCATCAGATTGACTTTAAGGATAAAGTTAACAAGATGACAATGGTTTTCAAGCTATGTGCAAGTCAAGTCTTCTTCTTCTTCTTCTTTGCATTCACCAGCTGTAGTAAACTCTGGTGGAAAGTTCTGGTTGTTTGCCATTTCTGGCTTGTTCCAGAAATCGAGTTTTGTACGCACATTGGTTTTACAAATGTGGCTTATTTTTATGCAGATCATTGCTTCCTTATCTTCCAGGTTTATGCACTCTTACTTCGAAGGAAACACCCCTAATTGGTCGCCTTCTGTGACATATCTGTAGGGGGGGAGGGGGTGTTCCATTCTCCCCCCACCCCAAAATGGGGCTCCAGAACCCCATACTTAGAGCAGACGGACCCGAAAGCCAGACTGAGAGTTAAGACTATACTCTCAGAATTGAGTGACAAAGCAGAGCTAAGTAATAATTAAACTATTCTGACTGGCGTTCAAAAAGTCTCCCAACAATACCCCAGGGGCATCCAGTGTGTTTATATGCTGCAGATATCAGAGGATGACATGACAGCCCTGGGAGTAAAGCTCAATGACAGCATTCTAAGTCATCAGATCAGACACGAGTAACTACGCAGCTGCTTACTACTGATGTGGAAACCGAAGACCATTACAAGATCAACAGCTACAGAATTATTACGATGCAGAACGTTACGGGCTAGCTTATAGAGAAAAATTGTAGCACATGGGCTCGCTAATGACTAAGAAAAGGTTGGCAGTTATCATCCACACTTGGAGGATACAGGTGTAGCAAAGAAACAGGACCTAATGCCGCAGTTTTCACCTATGAAGTCTATGAAGATTTTCAGATGAGAGAAGAGACATCTACTGCCCTATTAGACTTAGAGAATGCATAAAACAGAAGGACTGTTCAACTTAGTGTCTTCTGCTAACCTTTCCATTTGCTAAACTTAATGGACTATTCCTTGTTTTTTTTTCCATTGGCATTATCTCTTGTAAAATCCTAGGCACCTTTCACAGTATTCTCAGGATTCGGGAAACTAGTCCTCTTCTTCTGTGAACACTTTCAGACATCGTCCGCATCATCCTGTTGTGCAGCTATACGTCAAATATGGCTTAGAGTCTAGTCTTGCATTCCATTCTGTCCTGTGAAGTCCTATTGATATGCCAGACCACCAGACCTCTCAACAACGTATATCTCAGGGTTTCTCTAGGATTTCCTTATTTCCTCAATCCATTTGTTTCCCATTTCATTGCATTTTTGGTGATTCTCTGACCGTTTTTGCTGATGATGTGCACAATATATTACCATCCTCCTTGTCCTGTAAATGATGACACAAGCGGTTGTCCAGACATTTCACTTATTAGTGTGAATATATTTAAAGAGCTTGTTGACATCTTTATAGAGTTTTTCTGCAAAGGTTGCTGATGTAGGTCACAGTGTTCAATTGATCCAATATATATATATATATATATATATATATATATATATATATATATGCTAATTATCTGTGTGTGACTCATAAGGACCTGGATATGATGGAAAGAACTATCCTGGAGTAACATGGATATCATGGGAAGAACTATCATGAAGTAATATGGATGTGAAGAGAAGAATTGTCCTGAAGTAAAATATATGTGATGGGAAGAATTGTCCTGAAGTAACATGGATGTGACGGGAAGAGTTGAAGTAACATGGATGTGATGGGAAGAATTGTCTTGAAGTAGCATGGATGTGATGGGAAGATTTGTCTTGAAGTAACATGGATGTGATGGGAAGAATTGTCCTGAAGTAACATGGATGTGACGGGAAGAATCATCCTGAAGTAACATGGATGTGGTGGGAAGAGTTGTCTTGAAGTAACATGGATGTGATGGGAAGAATTGTCCTGAAGTAACATGGATGTGATGGGAAGAATTGTCCTGAAGTAACATGGATGTGATGGGAAGAATTGTCTTGAAGTAACATGGATGTGATGGGAAGAATTGTCCTGAAGTAACATGGATGTGATGGGAAGAGTTGAAGTAACATGGATGTGATGGGAAGAATTGTCTTGAAGTAACATGGATGTGATGGGAAGAATTGTCTTGAAGTAACATGGATGTGATGGGAAGAATTGTCTTGAAGTAACATGGATGTGATGGGAAGAATTGTCTTGAAGTAACATGGATGTGATGGGAAGAATTGTCCTGAAGTAACATGGATGTGATGGAAAGCATTGTCCTGAAGTAACATGGATGTGATGGGAAAAACTGTCCTGAAGTAACATGGATGTGATGGGAAGAATTGTCCTGAAGTAACATTGATGTGACGGGAAGAGTTGGAGTAACATGGATGTGATGGGAAGAATCATCCTGAAGTAACATGGATGTGATGGGAAGAGTTGTCTTGAAGTAACATGGATGTGATGGGAAGAAATATCTTGAAGTAACATGGATGTGATGGGAAGAATTGTCTTGAAGTAACATGGATGTGATGGGAAGAATTGTCTTGAAGTAACATGGATGTGATGGGAAGAATTGTCTTGAAGTAACATGGATGTGATGGGAAGAATTGTCTTGAAGTAACATGGATGTGATGGGAAGAATTGTCTTGAAGTAACATGCTCTTGTGGAAGATTCTCAACCTGAGCTCGTCTTGCTGGTCATCACCATGGACTGTGATTCCCATGTTATGTTATGTTTGATTTGATTGATTTGATTTGATTCAAGAACCGACATCACAGCACTCGGGGCATTCCCATAAGCGCTCTGTCCCCATCTGCAGCAGTCAACGAAGAGTTCCAATACTAATGGTGCCAGTAGCTTTCTGATTAAACGTCCGTCTTGCCTTTCCTCTGAGCCTTCAGCTTCTGCCAGAACCTCTCGTCACCCCCAACTACATCAATCTCACCAGACTGTGGTGATCCATCTGCTCCTCCGCATTGTACTATGCTCTCCCACGAGGCACTAACCACGTCTGCCCTATCATGTAGCAGTATTCCACCAAGTTGTACAGAGCCGGCCAGTCTGTCCGCCTGTTCATTTCCCAACACACCGGCGTCCCAGGTGAAAAAATCCAGACAATACTCCTCACTCGTGTCCTCCGCAGCGAAGCATACCTGTTCTGATCTTCCTCAGCATGCTTTCTGAATCAGTTACAATTACAATGTGTGTGTGTCGTGTTCTCTAGCCAGCGGAAAGCTGCAGTGACCGCCTCCACCTCCATTCTTAAGCTGGATGTTGTGGTATCATATGCTAGGCTCTCCTGCACCAAACGTCGACCATTAACTTTTGCTAAAAAGATGTTATGTTATGTTATCACAATCAATGTCACTGCACACTGGGCATTCCCATGCAGCAGCCACTCCTAGTTACTTCTACTAATCGTTCCCATGAGAGGTTGATTATAATGTCTCCCATCTCTCCTCAAAGGCAGTAAAACATGCATTCACCATGCTTTACTCCCATATCACGCAATCGTGTTAGTGTCATTATCCACTAGCCCAGTCCATACAGGGTTGACGAAATCTACTCTGTCCATGCTTTTTCCCCATATAAAAGCCCTGCTTTCCTGCAGGACAGGGTTATTCAACTGCCAGGCCCCTGAGCCAAATCTGACCTAGCAAGTGACTCGCACATCATTGCCAGTTGTGACATATTAATGATCTTTCCATCTGGGACTGGGACTTCTGTCCCACGTTGTTCCCCATTTTCAACATTTTGGCCCCTAGGTATACTTAGTTGAATAGCTGTGCTAAAGGACAATGGAACACATCGAGAAAGATGGAAACGTGCCAATAACATGATGATGATGAGACCCAGATATGGCTGTGTATTGAATTTCAGCAACTGACCTCTCATATCATAAGAACTTAAAATTATCATCTTTTTCATGATGTTTCTGCTTCATTAGACTGATGATGAACAGCAGCTGGAGATGCAGCGAGCCCGCCACAGAGCCAAATCTGAGAGTCGTCTGGCAGAGACATCTGGCGTACAACAGCACTGGAACAACACAAACAGCAGTATTAGTCTCTTCAACGGTTACACAGACAACACCTCCAACCTTCAGAGGACTTCACGGGTGGCCAGTAGCACTATCATGCTGGCCGGGACCCACAGTCAGAGTGGTCGTAGCAGAGCCAACGCTAGCCGATACAAGAGCTGGGACGCTTCAAGGTAAGAATATTTACAGACTGTCTGAATTAATAAGTCTAGATTTTACAGGAATAGTCTCTCAACGATAAAAAAAGATAAAACTTTACAGGAATGTAGACAGTAAACATTAGGAAATATAGATTTCACAGGAATGTAAACTGTCTGTACAGATTTTACTGGAATATAGACAGTAAACATTGATAAACGTAGATTCTACAGAAATTTCAATTATAAACATTGAAAAACATAGGTTTCACATGAATGTAGATTTTAAATATTTATAAACATAGGTTTTTACAGGAATCCAGACCGTAAATATTGATAAATTTAGATTTTTACAGAAATTTTGATTGTGAAGGAAATATCAGAGAAACTCTAAAGCAGCACAATATGACTGTGGTAGAAGCAGCCAGAAGAGCAAGAAGCAAAACCTACTATCTCCCTCAACACCTGCAGCGGTAAAAGAAGAAGTAGATTGTAGACATTGACACATTTTTCATGAATTTAGGGTTTTTTTCTTTGAATTTACCTCATCTCGGGGACCCCGAGATTTCATGGAGAGGTCCCGGGAAAATCCGATGGTATGTGGCTCTTAGAGTGTGAAATGAACACCAACTAACATTAACCCTAAACCCCCCCCCCCCCCCCCCCCCCCCCCTTCTATATTGGATTTTTCCCAGAAACTCCCCACGAAATCTTGAAGTTTCCGAGATTTGGTGAACCAGATTTAAGTATGTGTATGTAATGCATTTATCAAATGGGCATTTCAGACTAAAGTTACATTGAAATTCTCTTCTTTTGTCATCATTGCTTTTCTCCCGTATTTCCTCATTGATTAATCATTTTGAGATACTGCTTGAGTTGGCACCTTTCTGTCTTTCCAGATATTTTTGGCATTATAATGTAGACTGTAAATATTGATCAGACATACTTTTTTGAAATGTTAAAAAAGGGATTGAATGCTGAAACTACAAGAGAGTAGATACACGTCTGCCATAATTGTGATAAATTTGTGTAGTTGTGTGGGGACTCGTGTCATACTATACAAGTGGCTGCTGTTTGGATGGACATTTTTGAGTCACCATTGAAGTTGGGTTTTATTGATTGACACGGGTATAAATATTACATTTTAAAACTTGGGAAATGGTTGAATATTTGCTTATTCATATGTTAGTACACTCGCCATCACCATGGTCTATGAATCCCATGCCTCCTCATCACTCAGTATAACACTGTCATCTGGAAAGACATAAAGGTGTCAGTCAATCTCTTATGTTAGTAGACAGTACCTTTCTGTCCATGATGCTTGTGTCAAGGCTTGACATTTTCCCCCACAGGACTGATGCCAACTTTTCCCTGGCACACTCTCATGTGCCAGCCAACTCTGCTGCCAGTTCAGGTAGTGCCTTCACATCTTACAAGAAACCCATCAAACAGGCCTCCTTCTCTGGGACAACCAACTCACCAAACACTTTCCAGCCGTCTTCTAGTTTCAAGAAAGGAAAGTTCATTGTGAAGCCAAAGTCATCAACAGATAGGAGTCACAGTGTTGGCAGTAGCTTCAGGTAAATATTGTTGTTTTATTGTGGTTTACAGCTAGGCTACTACTCGCTGCAGCCCACAGTCTGTGTTCGAAACCGGGCGGCTCCCGGGGTTCACCCAGCCTCTAGAAAATGGGTACCAGAGTGATACTCTGGGGTAAATGGAGGAACGTCGCTGTAGCTACAGAGTTACGTGCGAACGGCGACACAGGCGGACAATTCTTATCAGCTGTCCGTACTGGTGGCAGAGCACTTATGGTTTATAACCATGTGCAATGACGCTGGTTCATATCTCCTGACTTTACCTTTACCTTTTAGCTAGGCTACTATCGCTGGGTCTTTCACCACCTCAACCCATCTGACTTCATTCATCCCCAGTTGGTCATTGTTTTGGTGACATTTTTGTTAGGAGGCAGTCGGTCTACAACCTCCCCCCCCCCCCCCCACCCACCGTACCCAAAATGAGCCCTGTAACCCACACTAGAAGAGGTAGACATAATGGAGTCTATAGCTTTGACTTTTCAGATGATCTCTCATATGATAGAAGTGAGATATAGATAGATCAGAGGGAGAATCAGAATAACTTCAAATAACAGTCAGCAGTGTGTGGAACATTTTGTTACAGGGGCCTTTCTGTCCAGATGGTTCAGCCATGTGTCTCATTCTCTAGAGGTTGTGTGTTCAGTTTTCTCCTTCTGTTCATGGATACAGGTATTTCAGCGAAACTATTTACTGGGCCCGTGGAGTTTTATGGCTTGTGCAACATCCAGTGGAGAGACTGAGCCATATGGGATAAAACCCAGTTCATGGAAGAGGATTCTTTCACCTTTAAACACTTGGTTATATCTAAACCACTCAGTTACAGATGACTATGAAGATCATCAGGTATTAGTTAATACACTCTTCATGACCTTGTGTATACACTGTATATTATATGGCTGTAAACTCTGGCAGAAAGTTCTGGTTGTTTATCCACTTATGGTCTTGTTCCAGATCTTGAGTTTTGTGTGTACATCTGCTTTACTTCAGTATTATTGTGTCCATTATACCACTGATATTTATCCCTTTTGTCACTTTTGCTTGGTTACTTCAACTTTTCAAACGTACTAGACATGTAATACAATCTACAATACAATCTGAAAGTAAAGTATACTATACCCTACAGTATCTGCTTGAAAGCAAATGCTGTCTTGGATCATTAAAGATCACTTGTCATATTTGGCTTTGAAAACCTGGATTACAATTTGAAATGACAAGCCTTGTTTCAGACTGTCAAAAACAAAATCTTATGACAAATCTTTGGACCCATGATAAATCTTTGGACCCATGATAAATCTTTGGACCCATAACATATCTTTGGACCCATGATAAATCTTTGTCTTTGGACCCATGATAAATCTTTGGACCCATGATAAATCTTTGGACCCATGACAAATCTTTGGACCCATTATAAATCTTTGGACCCATGATAAATCTTTGGACCCATGACAAATCTATGCAGCCATGATACATCTTTGGACCCATGATAAATCTTTGGACACATCAGAGATGAAAACTGGAAGATATTGAGAAGCAGCAATGAAATTCATAATCTATTAAAAACAGAACTATTTACCGGCATTATAATGGCTTATCAGCTGAAATGGTTGAGGCATGTAGAGAGAATGGCTGATAACAAAGAGACGACAATTATCTATACATAAGAGTTGAATGGGGGTAGACCTTAAGGCAAACCAAGAGTGTGGTGGAGAGATCGTCTTTTTAGTGTTCAACGGCTGTAAACTCTGGCAGAAAGTTCTGGTTGTTCATCCACTTCTAAACTCTCATCTTGTTCCAGACTTTGAATTTTGCATGCACATCCACTTTACAAGTTTGGCATTCTTGTATGCGAACTGTTGGTTTCCTGTCTCTCAGGCAGATGCACTTCCGCTTGAAGGAAATCCTGTAATTAGTTAACTTCTGCAGCATGCTTATAAGGGTAGGCAATGAGTCAATTCTCTTCTGTCCCAAAATAGGCCCTTGAAGCTACTCATGGAGATAGAGAGATAATATGTAGGCAGACTTACAAACACTTCGAGTCATCAACTGGAAAAAAAAGGCCAGCCACAGAGATAAATGGAGGAGGATGATCTCTGTAGCAGTGAACCTCAAGAGCTCGGAATGCTGAAAAAGGATTACTTTTTCTCTGTTCCCATCACTGTTACTAGCTGTGTTGCCTTCTTGGATAACCAGTTTTTACATTCAGTACCACTCATGATTTTAAAAAAACAAAAAAACGGAGATGATGCAATCCCAGCTTTCATTGTTAAAGTTGTCCATCTGTTTTCTTGTAGCCAAGAATGGACAACATTTGTTTAACATGTCTCTGATATCTTTGTCTGTTTTTTTCTTGTATTTTTCACTTTATTTCTGTTTATTTTATTTATTCTTTTCCTATTTATACGTGTAGAGAACCTGTATCAGCGAGTTCTACGGGGGACCACACTTCCTACATTAGTAAACAGTATCGCCCTGTATCTGACCCCCTTATTTCATCAGCTCCCAGAGAGCTTTTAGACTTATCTGCAGGTGCTCGTGCCCAAGGAAGAGACAACTCTAGACCCAGTATTAGCAAAAGATCTGAGTCACCCAGTATAAGATTTCCCCCTCCTCCCAATGAACCCCCTCCTGTCTTGTCTTTTCTACCGCTACCCGCTCCACTTGAGTCTGGTGGTCACATGACCTCATTTAAAAAGGTCCCAGCTCCTCCGCCACCAGTCATTGACAAACAGGCCTCATCCTCCCCTCCACCGATGGCAACAGGCATCAAACTCCAAGTAGTCTCAAATGAATCTGGCCAAAAGCCCGCACACCATAATGGAAGCCATCAACATCACACTGAAGCTATTTCTGAGCTGTCTGCCTCCAGTTCCGGAAGTTCTAGTGGGTAAGAGCCAGTACCATATACGCACGAGACCACCCCGAAAAAAATCCCAACATATTTTCATATATCCGGATTCTTCCATATTACATTCTTTCACCTGCATTTATTTCTCCACTTTATACACGTTTGTAACTTATAAATGCACCATCTGGTTGTGTCATAGTTTGTTTCATGAGTAAGAAATATGCAGATTATATGAGAGACTACAAACTTTTATTTTCATAATGTTAAGGCAGGCCTTCCTTATATTCTGCTCTTTTGGCCTGACTCCTTACATATATTATTCCATTTACACATCAGTTAGTAATAAAATCATACATCTACATCTCATTCTCAACCACAGTTACTGGGATATGCCCTAATTGTGCCTGCATTTCTAAGTAATATTAAGTATAGTAAGTGTAATCTATTTTGTGGGGGGGAGTGGAAGGGGGGGGGGGGGGGGGGTGACATCATATGTTTAAAATTATTATCTCTAATGAGGGCATACAGTCTGTGCTGAAGTAATATTCAGATAGTTTCCAATAATATGTATGGGGGTTATTAATTTTTTTTTTTTTTTTTTGATTGGCTGCGGAAGTTGATTCTGAAAGAAAGAGAGTGAGATAGATAAAACTCATTTAACTTCATAAATAATACATCACTCTTGATAAATAATAGTATTAGATGAAAATGTGTAATATTAATAGTGGATAAATATAAAAACCAGATATTTTATTGGCAGAAATGTATAAATCACTATAGGGGGCCAAATTTTAAAAAGATAAACAATTATTTTTAAATAGAAAAAAGACACATAGGAAACTGGCTGCAAATCCCTTGTGTTTCATTCTGCAGATATTACCCGACTGTCCATTTCTGTTATTGACTTTCTCTTTGTAGTTGGTGACTCCAAGTGCCAAGATCTCTTGTTTTCTTGGTCTTATGGCTTGTGGTCTGCTCCCCTTCAACTCTTTTGTGTACGCAGTTTTTGTCTGCCAGGTATCCTCTCTCTTTGCTCCATGATGCTGGTGAGTTGGGAAATGAGCAGGCAGATAGACTGGCTGGCTCTGCACCTCTTGGTGGTGAATTGATGTATGGCAAGTTAGATGTTGTGAGGGCCCTTCAAGAGCTAGTAAACAGTGCGAAGGCGCAGATAGATCATTATAGTCTAAGGAGAATGGCACTGCGAGGAGTTACCAGAGGCTTCTGGCCGACGTCAGAACTCAAGAGAAAGGATGCGACGAATATTTAATCAGACGGTTACTGGTACGATCGGAATTAAAACTCTTTGCTTGCTGCTGAAGATGGGGACTGAGAGTGTCCCGAGTGTTGTGATGTCGATTCCTTATTCAACATTCCCCACCATTTTGGTCTGTTAGCCCTCACAATGGCCGTAATTTATGGTGATATAAACAGATTCTGAATTTTCATTCTCTATTTGTTTGCATCATTGACGAATTTAAATTTTCAATATAAGACCCTGTTCTTGTTTGTTTGTTTTAGTATCCAGAAGCCATGAGTTGTTAACCCTTAGGCTCGGTATTATGGACATCGCAACCTTTCGGCCTTGATTCCATTGTAAATACCATAAATCTGGGAGAAAATGTGGCTTTCCTGCCTACCTTCGGGATTGAACCCGGACCACAAGGAGTTCGTCACCCGGTCTCCGCCCAATCCGGTTTAGCCAACTACGCTAGAGAGCCGGGCAAGACCCTCTTCTTAAAAATTATATGTCATAGCAAAAGAGTCACATTCATTTTTTTGGCCACATAATGAGAAAAGAAACTGGAAAGTATGCTGAAAAATGGCAAGATGAATACAATACAAATCAGAGAGCTAGAAAACTGAAGTAGGGCTTTATCCAAATTACTGAATGCTGTTGATTTTTTGATTCCCTATTTGGACAGTTTTATTAAATCAGCCAATGCTTTGGGGTTGACTCGCCTAAAATAGGTTACATGAGATGCCTTGGAAGGTAAAGGCGGCCTCAATGTTATGAACTACATCACCTACTAAGTTCTAATTGCCTATAATAATATGGTTTTTTTTTTAAAGTGAACAAGCCTTATTACACCTCTGGCACATTGGGCACACAGTGCTAGACCTATAATTTTATAGACCAGTTGGAACTCGATGGGCAATATTCTCATAACATAATGGCTACTTTTACTTCCCAAGTCATTACCTGTGGCGACTTTTACTTCCCAGGTCATTACCTGTTACACTTTATAGACTGTGTCAGTTTTGAAGACGGAAAAACTGTCTCTGCAGATTTGAACCCTTGGCCTGATAGGAGAGTGTCTAACCACTTTGCCATGAGACTGATGAAATATGTGCTACTAACTACACACTGTCATTGCTCCTAGCTGTGTTACACTGGGTCTTGTGATTACTTACTGAAACTGCAATCACTGTTTTCTCAACAATGTTTTTTCCTCTATGTTTTCCTCTACTGTTTTCTCAGTGTTTTTGTTTCCTTCCATGTTTTGGTTTGATACCTCCATGTTAAAATTATTTTTTTCTGATGTAGGTTGTTTAACAACTGAGTTACGCATTTATCAACATCATTAACATTAAGAGTCACACACTCCTTAACAATTGTAAGAGTTACAAATTCGTTAACATCATTAACATTAAGAGTTACACATTCCTCAACAATTGTAAGAGTTACACATTCGTTAACATCATTAACATTAAGAGTTACACATTCCTCAACAATTGTAAGAGTTACACATTCGTTAACATCATTAACATCAAGAGTTACACATTCATCAACAGTGGTAAGAGTTACACATTCATCAACAATGGTAAGAGTTACACATTCATTAACATCTTCAACATTAAGAGTTACACATTCATCAACAATGGTAAAAGTTACACATTCATTAACATCATTAACATTGAGAGTTATACATTCATCGACATCTCAACAGTTACAGTTACACATTCATCAACAATGGTAAGAGTTACACATTTATTAACATCATTAACATTAAGAGTTAAACATTCATCAACAGTGGTAAAATTTACGCATTTATTAACATCATTAACATTGAGAGTAACACATTCATCGACATCTCAACAGTTACAGTTACACATTCATCATCTATAAAATGCAACCTATACTTCTGTATACTCACAGAGCTTCTTTGACTTTCTAGTTGTGTGTTCAGTGTCCAGGTTGCAGCACAATGTAGTCTTGTTATACGTTAGATACCCTGTATTCATGTCACATATATTATATATTATGTATCTGTCACATGTATTATATATTATATAACTGTTGTAATTGAATGTCTTGGCAGCATGGAACATTATGTTTTTCCACAGATGCCACTTTAAACAGGTCTTTTGGCTAGCCCTCGTGCTTCTTTTCCTTTTTCTGTTCATAATCTGGCCATAAAGGATTAACTATTTCGGTGCCAAAAAACTCACCATATGTTTATTCATTACATGGTACACAACTCATTCTTCTTCTACATTCATCTGAAGACGTAAACATGTTGTGCCCATTTACAACATGGCTTCGGTATTTGATCCTTTCAGTCGAAAGGTCTGAATTCTGCAGGCATTTGTTGCTTGAATTAGCCTTCTGTTCTATCTCAATTGTTACTGTAACTCATTTCATCACAGAACTGTATTTTTTAGTTCCAAAAGTTTAACCAGTTGTTGCCTAAAGGATAGCGTTGAGTTAAGAACTACATAGAACTGAACCAGCTCTGGTTGGTTGTTGTTGCGTATCCTTTACAGGACGTTGCAGAACCAACCCTAACAGCCCCTGGCTGTTGTGTGGTTTCCCTAGGCTGTCCAGTAGTTTGCCATTGCTTTCTGGACGGTCGGCATTCTTGATACGCTAAAAAACGCAGGGCGCCTTTCTTCGAACCTGGCAATATGTTCGCATCGACTTAGCCACAGAGCCGACAGTCTCTGGTAGTTTTTTAAATTTTTTATAATTGCATTATTTTTTTATTGCGTCTCCACAGAGAAGGCTATTTTCAGTGCATCCACAAATGTTTTTGGGGGAACATGACTTGGCTATTACACGATCTCTTTCAAAGCTTGACCCTCATCCAAAAGACAACAGTCTGTCAAAAAAACAACACTTACCCATAACAGAAACTGTACCCTCGTACTTTGGGGATAAGGAATTGTGAAATGCGCTCACTAACCTCAGAGTCACAGAGCGGCACAGTATTGGCCTCGTAAAATATATAGATGCTTTTTTTGTATTAGTTTCCACTGTGTAACACCAGACGGACATTTATTGTGGGTTTTAAGGCTCCATGGGGTACGGGGAGGGGGCACGTTGTAAGCATGAAAAAAAAAACTGTTGTAAAATTTGATCTCAGGAGGGTTTGCTTAAATTTGATATTTTGAACTGAAAGGTGCAGATATTGCAGCCTGCCTATATACAGCATTACAGTGTTCCACCACACTTTTAAGAATGAAAGCATAAGGAGATGAGTTAACAGCATTTGTGGGCTATTTATCTTGCGGTCAGGTCATCCCACTTCCAACTTCATAGCAAATAGGTCACCCCATAGTTGCTCCATTCCTGTGCCAACGACTGAATGTCCATCGCTGTCCCATATGAAAGAACTGATGCAGGCTGCAGTCTCAGCAGCAAAGCCAGTAGCATACACATCATGTTGCTGTCATTTAGATTTGCTTCAATGTTTTGAGCACAGCTTTGGAGTTTGGAGCCATCTTTTTAGTTTACTCATGTGTGAATTAGTAGCATGTCATCTTCCCAGATACCAGAAAATAATATTTTAACATACAAGTATGTAAATATTTAGCACTGTTATTAGTAAGATATTTGGCTTCAGTAGTCTGCATACAAACTTGTATTTCTCATTTATATCATAGGAATATACATATATCTGTTGGTCAAACATATGATTGTCATTTACATTTATGGTTCATATATTTGCATGCTTGTATTCAGGAAATGTACACGTATCCCAGAACGTATTTCAGATTTCATGGAAATTTACATGCATATCTATGTTATATAAAATATCTTTGTAATTTACTTCCATTTTTAGTGGAATTTGCATAGTATGCCAACTATCAGTGTAATTCACTTTTAATTTCATGGGATTTATTTATACGTTTTTGAGGTTACGTCCTGTTAAATGAATAATTTAACTACACATGTCAGTGTTAACAGTAAGTTAACACACTTACAAGAAAGAGAGAAAGAATAAGAGAAGATATTCATTAACCACTCTGTATCACATGTAGTTATTACTTAAGAGTAAGTCTGAAGGCAATAAATAAGTGACTGTGTGTAACAAAGTTACAGTCGTGGTTAGCCTGTAACAATTTAACCCTTACATCCTGTATTGCTGAAAATGTAAAATGGGCAATAACCCATGGGAATTCGGGGGGGGGGGGGGGGGGGGGGGGGGGGGGGCAGTGGAACTATTTGTCTTTTTTTCCCCTCCCCAAAATAAGGCACCGGGGAGGAAGCAGGTCAAGAATTAAGGCAGGATACAGTTTAGCACATAATGGCTGGCTGGAAGTCAGTTTCATTGTCAGGAGACTCCAGCCCAGTACAGTTGAGCACATAATGGTTGGCTGGAAGTCGGTTTCATTGTCAGGAGACTTCAGCCCAGTACAGTTGAGCACATAATGGTTGGCTGGAAGTCGGTTTCATTGTCGGGAGACTCCAGCCCAGTACAGTTGAGCACATAATGGTTGGCTGGAAGTCAGTTTCATTGTCAGGAGACTCCAGCCCAGTACAGTTCAGCACATAATGGTTGGCTGGAAGTCGGTTTCATTGTCAGGAGACTCCAGCCCAGTACAGTTCAGCACATAATGGTTGGCTGGAAGTCGGTTTCATTGTCAGGAGACTCCAGCCCAGTGCAGAGAGGGTATTTATGAGGAAATATATCTTTTTCACAGGTCTCACAGGAAGGAAGATGCAGAAAGCATTGATGAAAAACACACAATAGTTGCAACTGCTAAAGGAATTTTTACATCGAAAGGTGGTCTTTTGGAGTCACCAGGTAAGTGCATTTTCATGTTTGTTTAGTTTGTTTTACATATTTTAGGAGCTGTGGGAATTGTGAACGAGAAAACAAATTCTTAAAAGCTATATAAATCCTTTCTTCACCATAGACAGTAGATAGATTAGTGAATAATTATTTGGACGCTGCAGAGAGCAGTTTTACAGATAGAAAGAGTGATAAAGATGTCTTGAAAGAAACTGACTGATGAAAAGAACTGATTGCCCACATCATGTGATGATTAGGAGAAAAGAAGTGCATTGTGACAATAGGAAAGTTGGAGGGGAGGCAGACTGAAAGAAACGATGCCACACAGTTTGACATCATGGCATGGAGGATCTTCTTTGTCAGACAGAGTTGATTGAAGGTACACGAGACAGAAGGTTGTGGATAGACATGACTACCAAGGCCACACGGCATGGATGTTAAGAAGACGAAGGAGGGTTGTGTGTACTTGATCATCTTTGCACTTGTCTAGGATTTACTTCATTGTTAGTGGGCATCTTTCTGTCTTTCCAGAGGATAATGTTACAGTGGGCTATAGGGAAGCAGGAGAATCACAGCCCATAGCAGCTAATTAAGGCCAGGGGTGAAGTCCCTCCTCTTCGTGGCATAAAGTCTGGTCAGTCTTGTGGAGATCATGTATCGACCAAGCATCAGGATCCCTCACTAGGCCTGTCTTGCTTATGCTTTATACCAAGGAATAAACAAATGAGCAAATGGGGATAAAAGACCACCTTACAGGCAATGAAATAACTTATGACTACACCACAGTTTTTCTTTTTGTTGAAGTCTATAGAATTGACTTAACTGCATCATGTTATCCATATTGCTCGATCTCTTATTGACCTAATTGCATCCTGTTATACATATCACTAGATTTATGTCCCCAGAACAGCTGCGTGCCTGTTGAGAGTGTCATGCAGAGCATGAGTACTGTAGCTCCACTGACAATCCCCAGGGATCTTCATATGCACTCATGAACAGAACCACGCATCTGTGCAATGAACACACCCTTCAGAGCATGAGGCAAACGGCTTCACCGCAGAAACCCAAATTTTTCATTTACAAACAGCAACATGTGGACACTAGAGCATCCAGACAGTCAAAAAGATCAGGCATATTACAATTTCAGTGTTCTCCTTGTGGCAGCACACCATGCTGAGATAACATTTGTTCAGCAGGTTACAGATCAAAACTTATTTTATTCTTATAGTCTTTTCACCTTTAGCCGTTCTCTTCAACACTGGATTTAGTTGTGTTATGTTGTTGTTTACGACGTCATTGCTTCCTTCATCCTTTTATTTACCATTTCATTGCCTGCTTGGAGATTCTCTGGTCGTTTCTTATCAGTATGTTTCCAGTACACTAACATCATCTTTATACTGTTGATACCACTGGTTGCCCAGAAATTTCACTTATTTTTCTCCCTCTTAAATTTATCCCACTTTATGTTCAATATTTTCCTCAGCATCTATTTTTAAATGCACTTTGAACTTTCATTCCATGTCACCAAAATAACAACTGGTTCAAATATTCAACCAGAAAAATGTTTTCAACTGCCGCTATATTTATGTTTGATAAGACTGATATCTTAGGTGCTTGAAAAATAAAAGGTATCAATGTTTACAAAGACCATGACATAAAGAATATCAAATGTTCCTTCTGTTTCTTCCTCTGGACTGTTACATTAATGTTTGACACCCTTAGATTACAGAATCTCAATCTGTATGGAAGAACACTGGGGCAAACTCCAGGTATCCTGTTCACCTTCCAGAGAAGTTATAATTAGGGCACCTGTAATGGTCACATCAGCCTGGTGCAGTCTGCAGTCCTGCGCGGTTAAGGGTAATGAAAGTTTCTTAGATGTGTGTCTGCTGAGTAAGATTCGATCATGTGTGCTGGCATAGAGTACTACAGGGCTATTCAGGGACTAACATTTTGAAAATGACCATAATAAGGTCATAAATACAGTACAGCTGGCAATGATCTGGGACCAATTGCTAGGCCTGCGGACTGCCAGTTGAATAGCCCCGGTGTAGCTGGTGTCTAACATTGCTTTTGTTGACTAGTACTTTGTTTAGAAGAAAGTGTTGTTAAACTGAAATACATCCCTGTTTGACTCTTGAAGAAACTGGTGTTAGTATTCTGGTCCCCGAGGGTGCCATTGAAGAAAACCAAGAACAAGAAATCTACTTCAAAGTGTGTAGGGACAACAGTCTGTTGCCTCCCTTAGATACAGAGAAAGGTGAGTTTGTTTTAGTTTGAAAGCCGTGGCTGGGATATATATATAATGTAGAATGTTTAGAGCTGGGAAATATAGAGGTATGTTTAGAACTTTTAGCTTTAGAGAGAGATATGTTTAGAGCTGAGATATTGAGGTCTCTTTTAGAGTCAGGAGATAAAATATGTTTAGAGCTGGGAGATTTAGAAAAATGTTTAGAGCTGGAAAATGTAGATAATGTTTAATTAAGAATCCACATCACAGCACTTGGGACACTTCCATAAGTGCTATGACCCCATCTTCAGCAGCAGGTTTGATTGTATTTTGATCTCACCTTTCCCTTGAGTGTTGAATGATGGCCAAACCCCCTGGTAACTGCTCGCAGCGCTATTCCCCTCAGATCGTAATTATCTGTTTGTTCCTCCACACTGTTCACTCTCTCCCAAGGGGCCCTTACAACATCTAGCTTGTCATACATCAATTCACCACCAAGCGGTGCAGAACTGGCCAATCTGTCTGCCTGCTCGTTTCCCAACACACAGACAATAATCTGGAGAAAATATCCAAAGGGCACCAACTACCCAGGACCTCTAAAAAGATGCTTGCCACTCTGCACGTAGCATGTGTGTCTCCACCTTTCCAACATGCTTTGTGAGTCATTTACAATTATGACGTAGGTACAGCTGATTCTCAAGCCAGCAGTAACTGTCTCCATTCTCAAACTAGATGTTGTGATATCAAATGCCAGGCTTTGTTGCACTAAGCGACATTGATTTGCTTTTGCTATGAACCCCCATGTACTTCGTCTGCCTCTTATCACAGAGCCATCTGTATATACAATCACATCACCTGGGCGGGAATTGTCATGAATCATTTGTTGAACTTCTGATTCTGCAGCACCAGCTGGTCAGTCCTTGCACTCACGGCCTAAAGTGATTAGAACCCTGCTCTCCTCACTTAGAAATGTAGTGATTGTAGAGCTGGGAGAAATAAAGAGATGTTAACCCTCTGGCGATTGAGCCTTTTTGGAATTTCGGTGCCAAAAAGATGAAGCCTTCAGGGAGGGATTCTCACAGTTTATACACAAAAAATTATAAAAAATAAAGCGTTTTATTAACATATAGAAAACTATAAATATATATTTATGTATGAAGTTGAATAAGCTAACAGAATATTTATGAATCCAACTGAAATTTCAACATTTATTCAAATCAACTTCTGATGTGCATAATTTATGCAAACATTTTTTTTATAAAGTTGGGATCAAACATGACTAACCTAAAAAATGTGGGTGAATTTTTAATGGATGAAGCTTGAATAAGTCCCAACACTTGTGTTTTGGGAAGTAAGGCCCTTGGAGGCCCTTCAGACACGTCTGGCACACGGTTCTACACATTTTCCTGCCTCCAGCTATATTTCGGTTGCTATGACGCAACAGTCCTTTTCGCCATTGTTGGGCAAGGTAACCCCATAAAAAAGTGATGTAAAATTACCGTAACACATCAGACTTTCTCGAAAGCCATCAATGAACAGCCTACAAATGCAATAAATGTGAGAAGCAATCTAATTGGCTGGTGCAAAAACCTGCCGGCCAATCTCAAGGCTTAAATTACATAGGGCCGATCGATCGGCTCAGTCGTCCTTTTGGCTACTCTGTGTCGGGCCAATATTTTGGCCGCATCGTCTCGAGGGTTAAGAGCTCCAAGATGTTAAGCTAAGACCAGGAGGCGTTGCTAGAATTTGAAAGAAGAAAAGTGAGAAATAAGTGCAGAGAGAGTGACAGTTATATTTGATACAAAAGTTCCTAAACTAACTAATATCATCATCATCAAGTGCTTTGCTGACTGGCAAGGGTGATCATGTCCCTCCACAACTTGTGGTCTACAACAGCGTGTACTAGGGCTGTCAAGAATGTTCTCGCACTGTCTTCCTAGTCTCTTTTACCACAGATCTTTCCAGCAGTCACAACGTGTTCCAGTTTACTTCTTCTCATTACATGACTAAACAATTATCAGTGTCTCCTTCTGATGTAGACATCTGGTTGTTTTTTTTTTTTTTTTTGTGAGCAAGAGACCCCCCCCCCCCCCCCCCCCCCCCCCCCCCCCCCCCCCCCGCATTTGATGTTTATTTTGTCTTGTGTGAGCAGACGAAACATTGCTGAGTTCCCCATCTGATGTTTTTTTTTTTTTTTTGGTCTTTATGTGAGCAGATGAACCATTGCTGAGTCCCCCATTTGATGTTTATTTTTTCTTTGTGTGAGCAGGAGAAACATTGCTGAGTTCCCCATTTGATGTTTATTTTTTTGTGTGTGTGAGCAGGAGAAACGTTGCTGAGTCCTCTTGTGATGTGTGGACCCCACGGAACCAGGTTTCTGAAGCCCGTGGAGCTAAGGCTACCTCACTGTGCGTCAGCAAATCCTGAGAGCTGGTCTTTTGCACTTAAGTCAAGTGAATCACCATCTGGTTAGTGCTGCTTTCTTCCACTCCAAGTGTTGGTCTCTAGTTTGTACTCCATGTGGGTTCTGGAGTCCCATTTGGGGTGAAACTACTCCATGTGGGTTCTGGAGCCCCATTTGGGGTAAAACAGTACTCCATGTGGATTCTGGAGTCCCATTTGGGGTGAAACAGTACTCCATGTGGGTTCTGGAGCTCCATTTGGGGTGAAACAGAATAGACCAACTGCTATTTAACATTCATGTTGTAGGGCAACTAATTTGGGGTGTTTCTTTCAAAGTTGAGAGCCAAGGAACCAACAGCTTGCATACAAAAAAGCTAGATCTGTAAAATGGATACACACACAAAACTCAAGTCCTGGAACAAAGTCAAAATCCGAGAATATGGATGAACAACCGGACTTTCTGCTAGAGTTTACAGCCGGTGAGCAAATAAACAACAACAATCAACAAGTGTTGATCTCTAGTTTGTACCCCTTACGAGTTCTAGAGTCCCAACTAGGGGTAAAACAAAATAGGTCCACTTCTCCTCCATCGCCACTACGTTATGATCTGTTTATGTACTTTAATTTTAAATATATTTTATTCATGGTTTTTTTTTTAATTATCTTCATACGTTCCAGGTTTTCATTAATGTTATTTCTGTCTTTTGTTATGTTCATTAACCCTTTCGCTTCAACATTCCCGGCCATAACTGTCTGCCCTGTGCTAAGCAGTCTGGAAAAATAAAGATCTCTGCTGTGCTGAGTAACCTTTTTTCTCTAAAAGCAGAAGACATTTGGGCGGTGCCAGCTAATGTTAGTACACCTACAATAAAAAACCCAGGAAGGTGTGTGGTTGATGTGTGTGATGATAGGTCAGACGCACTTTGGCAACGCCAATAAATCTCTCCTTTACAAAAAGGAAACAATAGAAACTTACAAAGCAAACACAAAATACTAAAATAAGTAATTACATGGTACAGTGTTAATTTACTTTGAGTTTCTTTGTTCTCTGCATTAGCAAACACACAGCTAAAAAACAAAATAGTCTGTCCAAATCTGTGTTTGTCCATCGGAAAAGATGAGAACATATAGTGACAGGTGTGTTCCTTGCAGAACCTGTTAGTTTCATCTGCAGTGAAAAACAGTTTTAAAAAAATTCAAGCACTGAACTGTTTGGATTTATAGCGGCAGAAATACAGCCAGAGCTGGGGTTATCTAAATTATGCACAACTGGCCTCAAGTCATCGGTAGACCAAGAAACTTGATCAGTTTTTTTTTTTTTTGTCGTTTTGATGGCACTTCACTGCTCTCTGATTCCAAAGATGAGGATGTCAGACAGGCAAATAGCTTTTTCTTGGCCACGCTGGTTTGAGCCATCGATGTTGATGGCTTAGTCAGATCTTCTTGTTCAGTGTCAGAAGTACACATTTCAAAGTTTTCTTCACTTTCACTCCTTGACATAAACTCCATTAATTCTTCATCAACTTCAACTTTCTTGCCATTTTGTATTAACGAAATATAGCATAATCCAAAACCACAAATATATATCAGCACAAAATTTACAGATCACCGACCAGGCTGCCACAGTAAACAAAGTAACAGAATAACACGGAATGCAGTAAACACACCTAAATGCACATGGCAGGGTTTTTAGTTCATATGTAAATGGGCCACTTAAATCTAAATATAGCTAATGTGTATTGCTCTTTGACCACCAAGAAAGAATCCATAGAAATCCTTAAGGCAAATCAAAGAATATATTTTTACGCCCATAGCAGTGGGAGTCAAGAAACCTAATAACATCCAAAGACCTGCGTAGCAGTATACAGGCAAACGGTGAAATATGCCCATAGTGGCGAAAGGGTTAACCTTTATGTGTTCCATATTGTTTGTTGTAAATTTATTCATTAAAATTTTCCATAGAAATACTTCTGTACAGGGGAGATATATCTGTATCTTTAAATAATTAGTTAGTTAGTTAGTTAGTTAGTTAGTTGGGTTATCATCATTGCACTCCGGACATGTCCATAGGTGCTCAGATCCTCCCCTCAGTATGAATCCCAACGTCCGATGGCTAATAGTACCAGTTCTATGTTGATTAACAAGTCTTCTGACGTGTCCGGTGTGCGTCTCGTTTTTTGCTGTGCCGATCTTAATTCCCAAGTCTGCCATTCTGGCGAGTGATGTGGATTCACTGCCACCAAAGTCCTCTATCCTTCCCATTTCTCTGAGGGCATTGATAATATCAGCATGATCCATAGGCCGACCGTCGGTAGTGATAGCGGATCCAGCCAACCTGTCAGCTCTTTCATTTCCATCGACGCCTGCGTGTCCCGGAACAAAAATAAAGGTGACTCCTCGCAGAGTGGACTTCTGAATTGATTCAAGCCATTGTCTTCGCACTGAACCTGCCTGAACCCTCCGGATCATACTCATTGAATCACTGAGTATACATATGCGGGGTGTATTTTTGTGTTTCAAGCCAGGCAAACGCTTGCGTCACTGCCATCACCTCCATCGTCATGCTGCTGGTTGTCATGGAGAAGGCGCCGTTGGCTTCTTTGACTGTTCTGCCCGCTGAGCGTGCTGTAAATGCCCATGCGCTTCTTCTTTGGCGTATAACTGATCCGTCTGTATAGATTAGTGCATCTGCTTCGTCTGAATTTTCACCGATGAGAGCGTTGACCTCTGCATTAACAGCAACAGGATTATCTTCTCTACATCGCCTGTTGAGTGTGACAATACAGGAAAATGTACAAATAAACGCCTGAGGCACAGGTATCCATTCTGCACCAGGTATGAAGTCGGTTAGGCTGCATATTTGCCTAATAACATCTTCTGCCCTACCTAGCCACGATTTTCCCCTCTTCAGTCTGTCGCCCTTTTCACTAAAAAGCGCTTGATGCAGTGGGTGTTTCTTATCAGCACATATTTTGAGGTATGCCCGAGCCCTCCACATCCTGATCCTTTGGTTCATTGTTGGAAATTCAAGTAGATACCTCATTGCTCCACAAGATGTGTCTCTTGTACATCCCAAAATAATACGCATGGCTTCATTTTGCACCTTCTCGAGTCGTTCAATCTGGGTAGCACTGACAGTGAGGATGGCCAGAGCGTATTCAATGGGGGAAAGGACCAGACCATAGAATAGAAGCACCAGCAGTCTTTGCTCGATATTGGAAGCAGCCATAATCCTCATTGCAGATAGACCTTTGCGTGCTTTTGTTATCGCATGGGTGGTCAACGTGTTCCCTGAATGACAAGCTGCGATCGAACCTCACCCCGAGAAACGTCATAACGTTGGTTCTGATCAATACATTATCACGCATTTTCACTTCTGGTAAGTCCGACTTGACAATGTGATTGTTCAAAGAGAACCATGACACTGATGCCTTCGAGGGATTGACATAGGCATTGGAACCATCACACCAGGCGGCAACTTGATCAAGTTCTTTGTGCATTGTGCTGGCGATCTCCTGTCTATCACGCCCTCGTCGATAAATCAAAATGTCATCAGCAAATGACAAAGTCCTTCCCTTTCCATTCAACTGCTGCTCAGTGATCATCACCGTATAAACATTGAATAAGACTGGTGATAGCGGTGATCCCTGTGGCAAGCCTGGACATATCGTTTGCGGTTCTGAGGACCAGCTACCACATCTTAGTACAATCTTTCTCTGGAACAGGACCGCAGCAATCCAGCGGATCAGAATAGTATTGACTTCTAGTTTAAGCAGTAATTGCATTAAATAATCATATGGTACTTTATTGTAGGCATCTTCTAAGTCCAACACTGCCGCACATGTCTCTTCTTTAATCTGAAATCCCTCCCAATATCTTTAAATAATAATTGAGGTTAATGAATATCAATTTCTTTAAATATACCGTTCAAATAAAGAAGTTATTTGACTGGGCTTTACTACTCACAAAAGGAAACACAGAGCTACTGAATGGAACATAATATAATAACCACGCATTTCTGTAATTGAACAGAGGTTAATGAAATCGTTTCACAATGCAGTACTCAATGTTTACCAGAGTTTGGCCGTAGAAAAAGGTGTTCTCGCAGCTTTCAGACAGCGGTACAAGAGTTGCACCATGGAAGACATTGGGGTCTCACTACTTAACATTCCCATATTTAGCAGATTGAACATTACAGCCAAACTCCATTGTGAAGAAGGCAGTTTTTTTTTTTTTTCTCTCTTTTTCAAATGATAGGTTTTTGTTTGATATTTTCAGGTCAGACAACAGAGTGGCAGAACATGACCCTGGCAGGGTCAGAAGGCGTGGCCAAAGGCAGGGTAGACCAAACTAGTGTATCAATATTGGTTGATCATTTCTAGGTGGGGCAGCTTGGACATTTAGAATCCAGCACATTGTGGACATTGAAGGAACCGGCAGCTTTTGATTCTGATTCTGCTGTAAATATTCCATACAAGGTGTATTCCTATTTACCCATAGGACTGTATTAATGTCCTCAGATTTTTCCTATGAAACGCAGTGGGTGATAAATTACTTGTGGATTTCTACAGAACCAGATAGTAAAAGTCTGCCGAGAGTTTCCTCTCCTGGTCTGGGTTCCAGGGCCCATTTTGGGGGGGAAAAGAATAGACCCACTGCCCCTTAAACAGGTATGTTGTAAAAGGCAACTAGTTAAGGGGTGCATCTTCTTCTGCATTCATCTAAGGATGTAAATATGTTGTGCTCATTTACAGCATGGCTGCAGAGGCAAGGAACCAGCAGTCTGCATAAAAATAAGCCAGATCTGATAAACGGGTGAGCTCACAAAACTCAGCTTCTGGAACAAGATCAAAGTCCAGAAGTGGGTGAACAACCAGAACTTTCCGCTGGAGTTTACATCTGGCATACAGGAAGAAGAGAGTTTTCTCACCTCCTGTACTGTAGTAGGCAGGCTTGTTTCACTAGCGCAGGACTGTAGAGTAGTGCTGCTGAACAGGGGTAGTCCAAATAGTTCAGTGCTAGAGTGACTGTCTCTGTCAGTTTTTGCATCTGTGACAGGTCATTCGTGCAACAAGTGGCTGTAGTTTATACTTGTGCCTCTTATCCTTAGTTCTTGGATCAGAAAGCACCAGACTGACTTGACAGATCTCTTCTCCGGGAATATCAGTTTGCTGCAACTCTTTTATATTTATGCCAAGGGTTTTCATGTCCGGTTTACAGAGATCATTATATCCCATTTAGGGTCTTTCAGTTGGCCTCTTTCCTTCAGCTAGTAAAGAAAAAGAAATCAACCCAGAACTGGTGTCATCAGCCGCTACATGCTGGAGGATTTACTGAGATGCGGATCTGAGCACTTATAGACTGAATGGATCCATGTGCAGGACAGTGAGGATAATCTGTCGACTCACTAACTAACTAACTATCTGTGGCTAGTTCTCCAAAAAAGCAGATCCATCCTCTGTACAAGATACATGGCCAGCCACCAAAGATGTCTCTGAGGAAAAAGTGTTCACTTATATCTTCTCTTTCTAATCGTTGTTTGTTTGTTATATGCTCCTCCCATGATATGCCCTGGATACGTCTCAGATATCTTCTCTGAAAGAAATGCAACTTTCTTCTCTGTTATCCTGGAAAGGGTTGTGGCTGCCTTTTCAGTGCTTCTGTTCATTTCTGTCACTGTTGAAAGATTAATATTGTCGACCCTAAGTACACAAACTATTGACAGCCTTCAGTGTGTAAGAATATATTTTGATTGATGAGATATATACACTAGACCCAGGATCAGTCCATCTGCTCTTTTGAAGTACATATTGTTTTATAAAATCAGCCCATCTGCTGTTTAATGTACAAGTTGTGATTGTTTAAAGTCGCCCATCTGTTGTTTAATGCACAGGTTGTGTTAACAAAAAGACCATGTGCTGTTTAATGTACAGGTTGTGTTACAAAAACAGTCCATCTGTTGTTTAATGTACAGGTTGTGATTGTTTAAAGCAACCCATCAGCTGGGGGATGTACAGTTTATGTTATGAAACCAGCCCATCTGCTGTTTAATGTACAAGTTGTGATTGTCAAAAGCAGCCCATCTGTTACTTAATGTATAGATTAAAAAAGCAGCCCATATGCTGTTTAATGTTGAGGTTTTGTTTCAGGACCAGCCCATCTGTTGTGTAATATATTGGTAGTTTTACTGAACAGCCCATCTGCTGTGTAATGTACAGGCTGTGTTAGAGAATCAGCTCATCTGCTGTGTAATGTACAGGCTGTGTTACAGAATCAGCCCATCTGCTGTGTAATGTACAGGCTGTGTTAGAGAATCAGCTCATCTGCTGTGTAATGTACAGGCTGTGTTACAGAATCAGCCCATCTGCTGTGTAATTTACAGGCTGTGCTGTGTATATAAAACCAAGATCAGTTAAGATTTTTATTTTAACAAGTGTCAAATATTCTCTTAGTAGGTAACCCCTAGCTAATTGAAATAAAGTTCACAGATCTAATTCCCCCCTTCCCGAAAGTAAAAATCAATATATATATATATAGTATGAAAACTAGCATATAGTATCAAAAGTAGTCTGGAAAGTATCACAGGGCAACAATGAAATATATCAAAAGTAATCTTAAAACTAGCTTGTGGCAGCAATGATATATATCAAAAGTAATCTTAAAACTATCTTGTGGCAGCAATGAAATATATCAAAAGTAATCTTAAAACTAGCTTGTGGCAGCAATGAAATATATCAAAAGTAATCTTAAAACTAGCTTGTGGCAACAATGAAATATGTCAAAAGTAATCTTAAAACTAGCTTGTGGCAACAATGAAATATATCAAAAGTAATCTTAAAACTATCTTGTGGCAGCAATGAAATATGTCAAAAGTAATCTTAAAACTAGCTTGTGGCAGCAATGAAATATGTCAAAAGTATTTATGAAACTAGCTTGTGGGAACAATGAAATATATCAAGATGAGTCTTTTCAAATGTGTTTGTTCTCAGTATTATATTATTCAAGCACAGTGATAATATTGTCATTTTTAAATATCTTTTCACATCACGTCCGTGATTTGTTTTGTGAAATAGAATGTTATGTGGTTTTGCATATTGCATGAATGCTACACTGTACATTGCATAATAGGTTAAACATGTAGCAAGCCAATAAATACAGCATCACAGTCTTTGTGTACTGTCTTGGGAGACTCGTGTGTCTATGTTGCATATTTGAGGCTGCTTTTGTGTTCCTTTCCTATGTTATACAGAATTTCTTATCAGTGGAGTAGGAAGTTGCGAAATGGCATGATTTCTGAGATAGACTTTTCAGGCACACCGAGTAGTGACCCTAGGGTCGATTGCAGCCATTTTCAAAATTCAGAATTACTAATGAATTTGTATAGATTCACCTTTCAGTTTTTTTAAAAACGGATAACAGAATGCTGCTCATCTTTGGTGCATGTCAGAAGTGGGGCTGCCATCTTTAAACTGTCATCATGACCTTACCCTGTTCATCCTTAATGACAATAACGACAGGTCACAAGATAATGGCCTGGTTCCCCGTGTGGGTTCCGGAGCCCCATTGTTGGGAAAACAAGAATAGACCCCCTGCCTCTTCAAGCAAGCACATCATAAGAGTTGACTAATTGAGCGTTTCTTTCAAAGTCAGAGTGCATCTGCCTGAGAGTCAAGGAATCAACAGACTGCATACAAATAAGTCAGATCTGTAAAACGAATGTGCACGCAACACTCAGGTTCTGGGAGAAGTCTTCAGTCCAGAGGTGGATGAATCACCAGAACTGTCTGCTGAAATTTAGAGCTGATGAACGGGAAGAAGAATGACCTGGTTGTTATAATTTCTATCCCACTTTAAAGGTTTTTATTGGAAGTGTATTCCTAGATATTGTGGCATCATATACCAGGTTTGTTTGCACTAAAAGATGGCTATTTACTTTTGTTATGAAGCCCGATGTACTTCTTCTGCCTCTAAACACAGAGTAATTTGTACAGATGTTTACATCACCAGGGCAGGAGTTGTTAAGAATCTGTTGTTGAACTTCAGTTTCTGCAGCACCCGCTGACTAGTCCCTGCACTAATCATGTGATCAGAACCCTACATGAATCTGATTGTTGCTCAGACCTTTGACCCATTCTTCTCAAGCCTGCACACCTGTCTAAATGTGTCTTAAGCTGGCCGCATCCAAGACCTTCCTTTTCTCCAATCAGTGACCATAGGTCTGTGGCCTTCATGCAGGAAGTGCTTGTTTTCTGCAACTACTCTGAAGTAGGACTTGCAGCTCTTTGAGCCTGTCTATAATTGTTATCAGAGAAAGTGTATATCACATACATACTATTGAGGTATTTCTTGTACATCCCAGAATTACCTCATGCCTTCATTCTGTATCTGTTCAAGTTTCATGAGCGGACTCTTAGATACAGTAAGCATTCCAAGTCCATAATCTGTCACTGAGAGGATCAAATGCAGTAACATTGTGAACAACATTTTACAGCAACTGCCTCCACATGACCACCCCTGAAGGACAGACTTATATCGAAAGTGATACCAAGATATTAGTTTACTTTCTCTTTTGATGTTTCTATCATTAATTGTGAGAGGGACATCAGCTCTTATAAGAATATTGTTCCGAGAGCACCATAAAACAACCGCTTTTTTCTGATGACATCACACAATCTCTGAACACCAGTTACTTTGTCTACAGTTGCCTGTAGCTCTTGAGCTCTCTGTTTCCTATCGCTCCACTGCCTATGTGCAAGAACATCATTTGCAAATAGTATCCTACCAGCATCAAGAGCTTCAAGTTCTGCAATCTTGCTTGAAGAACACTGGTGTCATTGCAGAACCTTTTGGTAGTCCCAGGGCGATATTGCATGGTTCTGAGTTTCATGTACCCAGGTGGAAGGCAACCATACGTTAATGCAGGACGGCTGCTATCCAGTTCACCGGCCAAGTACAGAGCTCACCTCCTCTCCTCCATGAGCAGAGACATCAGTAGGTCATACTGGACTTCAATGTAGGCATCCTCAAGATCAAGTGCTGCCATTACCATATCCTGTCTATTCCATTTTACATTTTTATTCCAGAACCCCTTATAAACATCAAAATCAAAATTGGCTGCATTTGACCAGGCATCTTTCCCTGGCCAATAACTACCTGAACCTTTTGGCAGAAGCTCTTGCCTTTCCAAAAACATTTGTAGTTTAACAGCAGTAATCGTCTCTAGCACCTTACCAAAAAGGATTTTATAGACTAATAATCCTGAAACGGTCTAGAATGATCTTTGCCTGGTTTTGGAAGTTGGATTTAATAGCTGTCCAGGGTTCCTGATGCACTGGTTCAAGTGAAAAGCCATCTCCCTCAAGTCTTCCTCACACATGCCCTT